AAGTGAAAAAGAGAGTCTGCAAACTGGGAAAGAGAGTTGGCAGTGACATGCCTGACAAGGTGCCAGTCTCCCAAATCCATGGCAGATGCCAGTGTTTCAGCGAGAAGAGACAAGCAACTTAATTGCAGATGGGCAGAGGGCGTGATAAAACACGTCCCCAAAGATGGCATGCTTGCGATCGTTAGCTGTTCGGAGGTACTGTCAAAACAAGGTCATACCTCACTCCAGCAGCCCAAGGAGCAAAGTTCAGGAAAACAGTAAACAACAAATGATGGTGAGATTGTGGAGAGATTGTTTACACTGCTGGTAAAGCGCAGTTGCTCCTCAGGTTGAACCACCTCCTAGCTGACCCTCCCCCTGGCTTCCCGAGACTGTAGCTTGAGCAAGAGGAGATAGACTGCCTTTCTCTCACGGCTGCTGAAGAATTTCAGCTGCTAGAGAGGCGTTGCCTTGGGCTTGGCAGCTCCTTGTGGACCGTGTTTAAAAGGTGCAGCTTCTACCGGAAAGCAGCGTGGGACTTCCTGGGGAGGTTGCAAATAGAAATACTGTTGGATCCAGCAGGCCTGCTGCTAGGTGTATATCCTAAAGATGCACACCTGCGTTTGTTGCAACATTCTTTACAAAAGCAGATGAATGCAGACAACCCTAGTTACATCAGCAGACAAGTGGATAAAGAATACATTCACACCGTAGAGAACTGTGAACATTAAAAAAGTGACAGATTTGTCAAACACTGCATAACGTGGATGAATCTAGAGGGCATTGTTATGTGCTGTCGAGTTACAGCCGATTTTCAGAGGCTTTAAATCATCCAGGAGGAGATTGCCTGTCTTTCTACCACAGAGCAGCTGTGCACTGCTTGTCCTGCTGCATACCTGATCTACTGGGCCAGGACCTTACAGCCTCTCCTTTTTGCCTGGATGAGTCCTTTTGTCGAGCCTCCTCGTCCCTTTTGTGTGCCCATGTCTGTGACTCTGTCTTCCATTACCCGTCGTTCCAGCACCTGCCCTCAGGAGAACCAAGGATCCGCATACCATTTCCTTGCCCTCCTTCCGCCCTCAACACCTGTGTGGTGTCGTCAGCCACGTCCATATGCCTCCGTCTCTCCTCATTCAGTAAGCAAAGCCTGTCCTGCTTGGGAATCCCCCCTGCTTTCCACCCTGGCTTTCTGTCCTGTTTGAAGAGAGCCACCCCTCTCACCCTCCCTCCTGGAACCCAGCAGTTTCCTTTGCCATCCTCAGTTAGGTCCCTGGGTTACTTGATGGCCACACACATGAGTGATACTTTGGTCTGGGTGACTGTTGATCTTTTCCGGTGCTTTTGATGACTGTGACATCATGATAACCAGAAAGATTTAAGATGTTTTACTTGGAACGCCTATGGAATAAGCAGTCAGGAAATCAAACCATGTCCTGCACTGGGCAAATCTGCTGAAAATAACTCCTTTAAAGTGTTAGCATGCTAGCATGACACTTTAAGAACAAAGGTGCTACTTACTCCATTTCACTTCATATGCATGTCAAGGCTGAAGAGTGAGTAAGGAAGACTTAAGGAGAAGAATTGCCGTGATGCTGTGCAAAGAATACTGCGTATACCATGGACAGTCAAAAGAACACACATGGGTCCCTAATGAAGTGCAGCTCAGGTGCTCCTTAGAAGAAAAGATGGTGAAATTCGTCTCACAGCCTTTGTGCAGATTGTGAAAATGTTGCTTAGAAGCCGGGATGGTAGGACTCCGTCTCATGCACTCTGAACATGCTCTCAGGAGACACCAGTCTCTGCGGAAGGGCGTCAGCTGGGAGAGGAGAATCAGCAGGACAGGGGAAGACCCTGGAGATGGACTGACTCAGTGGTGGCGACAGGGCACTCGCCGTGGGGCTGTGAGGATGGTGTGGGATCAGTTCAGTTTACATGAGCTCACTGTGAGTGGGAGCCAGAGTGGCAGCTTGGTGGCCACGTGAGTAAGGAGATGTACTATCAACCCAAAGGCAGGCTGTTCGAGTCTCCCAGCTGCTCTGTGGGAGAAGGGTGGACAGTCCTCTCCCCTGCGATTTCCAGTCTCTGAAAACCCATTGGAGTCTCAGCTGTGAGCTGCTTCCGACGCAGCTGCAGTGAGTTGACTTGAGCCGAGCACCTCAGCAGCTCTGTGTTCACGCTCCTGCTTTTACCCTCCATTCTGGAACTCTTGGGAGGTGCTGTGGTGGCACAGTTGGCTTCACCAGTTGGCTGCTAGTCCACAAAGTCAGTAGTTCAAAACCACCTGCTTCAAAATCACTGGCAATAAGAAATGGAAAATAAAACCACTATGAGGTACCATCTCACTCCAGCAGCAGTGGCAAAGTTTAACAGGATGTTGTTGTTATGTGCCGTCGAGTTGCTTGTGACTCAGAGCGACCCTGTGTACAACAGCCCTAAACTCAGCTCTGTCCTGTGCCAGTCGCACCGTTTCCGATCCACCCATCCCGATTACCCCAGTCACTGAATCAATCCACCTCATAGAGGGCCTTCCTCTCCTGCGCTGTCCCTCTACCCTCCCAAGCATGATGTCCTTTTCCAAGGACCAGTCTCTCCTCACAGCATGTCCAAAGTATGTTAGACGGAGCCTCAGAATCCTTGCCTCCAAGGAGCCTCCCGGCTTAACCTTTTCCAGGATGAATCTGTTTGTTTTCTTAACAGGCCATGGTGCGTGCATTCAGTACTCTTCTCCAGCACCACAGCTCAAAGGCATCAATTTTCCTTCTATCTTCCTTAGTCATTGTCCAACTCTCTGATGCATAACAAGTGATAGCAAAGACCATGGCCTGTATCAGACGCACCTTAGTCTCCAGAGAGACACCATTGCTCTTCAGCACTTTGGAGAGATCTCTTAACAGCAGACTTACCCATGGCAATACGATAACAGGTAATAAATGTTGGAGAGGAAAGGAATGTGATAGGATAAATGTGGTGAGATAGGAACGCTCCTACGTTGGTGGTGGGATTGGAAAATGGTACAGCAACTCTGGAAGGTAGTTTGACATTTTCTCAAAAAGCTTAACATAGAAATTCCATGTGACCAGCTATTCCACTGCTTGTAATATACCGTGAGAGAATGAGAACTGAGGCACAAATGGAGACTTGTACACCAGTGTTCATAGTAACATTCACCATTGCAAGAACATGGAAACAGCCCAAACATCCAACAACAGTCGAATGGATGGAGAAATTATGGCACATGATGGAATATGAAATTATTCACATGATGGAATACTAAACAGCACACAAGAGCAATGATTTTGTACATCACTACCTAAGTTGGGAGGGACTGGAAAGCATTGCTGAGTGAACTCAGTCCCACAAAGACAAATATAAGACCGTTATTGTAGAATGAGTGTAAGGATGGGGGGGCGTTAATCAAAGGGTTGCACTATTAGGTGGGGGTGTGTGTGTGAAGGAAATGGGAAGGATCAGGTATGAAAAACAAGGTATGTGAGCTTTTAAGTAAACTAGTATATAATAAGTTTATTTTAAAAAATAGTGTAAAATAGAATGTATGAATGAGTGTATGAAACACAGTGTATATGAATGAAACATAGTGTCACTAGCTTCTCTACAGGAGAAATATAAAGCAGTTTGCTCTTATAAAGATGTCCCTCAGTCTGTCTTTGCTCTCAAGTTGAAGTCCACCCCAGCTGACCTCTAGCAGGTTTCTGAGGCTGTAAATGACATGGGAGGAACTTGCCGGTCTTTCTCCAGTGGAGCTGCTTGCTGGGGGGTTTGCACTGCCAGTGCAGCGTGGCCCTGAAGATTGCCAGCCCTGGGAACTCGCTGGGGCGTTCCACTCTCCCCTGCAAGGCTGCTCTCAGTCAGGATGGACCGGATGCCTCCCAACAGACAGCACAGCTCTGTCCTGGGCCCTCTGCCCTTCCTGTCTCTGTAGGCCAACTCCTCAGGACACCTGCATGCCATCTTTCCCTTTGCTTGTCCCTCTGGAGCTTGGGGGCCCTGGGTGTGCCCACCTTGTTGCTCCTCTTTACCATGCTGTGCGAGTGAGGTGTCCATCTGATTCTCGGGTCCCTCCATTCAGCTCAGACTACCCTCCTGAGCCCCCCACCATCACACCAGCGATGACTTCTCAGCAGGGCAGCTCTGGACACTGACGTCACAACCAGCCATCTGTCACTAATCCAGATGCACGTGGGACGCCGGCCTCTTCTGTCACCTCCTCTGCCCTGCCCATACCACCTTCTCAGTCCTTCTGAGCCTTCTTGGGCTCGCTGGTCACAGCACCTCTGTTTGGCCATCTTGTTCCCTGGGCTTTAGGCTCTGATGCCTTTCCAGGGCCTCCTTCCATCTGGTAGACACACATGTAAACTATATACCTGTCTACATGTTTTATTCCTGGGGCTTTTTTTTTAGGGGGTGAAGGAAGGAAGGAAGGAAAAGGTTGTATTTGAATCCAGGATACCCTAAAACTGAGGATTTTTCCAGTTGAATATGGGGCTAGACAGGAGCATATCTTTGCAAGAGAATTTGATCTGAAAATAGTTTGATAGTAGTCCGCCAGGTCCCTCCTGAGTGAGCTGTGCTCCAGTGCTCTGTTCCCTCTGTAGGGAGCTCTCATAACCCAAAGGCTGCAGGTCCCTGGCAGTCCAAATCTAGCAGCAGAGCCTTGGCAAAATGATGCGTTGTCTCCTCCTTTTATGTTGGTTTTGTTTGTTTGTTTTACTGTTTACAGTCTCAGCAGTCCGATAGAGGATTGCTTTGAGTTGGGACCTCCTGAAAAGCAGGGTGTGTGAGTCTGTCTTCTGACTGCTTTTTGGCAATTTTCAGGAACTCTTCAAGCATAGTGCATTAAAGATAAGTGAGAAAGGGTGTCTTAGAAAAGCATTTCCCCCTTTCCCTTGTTTTCATTTTTTTTCTTTCCCTTGTTTTTATTTTTAGTGTCTTACTGTTCCTCCTCTGTCCATCCCAGCGTCCTGTCAGCATTGTGGTACTGCTGTCTGCCCTGCTTTTCACAGACTTGGTGCCAGTGCTGGGGACATGCTGGCCGCCTTTCCAGGGTCTACAGATGAGCTGAAATGGCTGAAGGTCCAGAGCCACTTCCTGTGGGATAAATCTTAATTCTAAAAGTGACATTTACTTAGCATGTATCTAGAAGGTTCTGCAGACCTTACAGGTTGTTCTCTGCTGACTATCCTTTCCAAGGTTTACTTCTGTGGTAGAGTATAACCCCTGACAGCCCTGGCCCCCTTCCTAGGATGGGGCCAGTGCTACCTCCTGGGGGTTGTCCTCTCAACCATTCTTAATGGTGTTTTCTGGTTGCAGGTCCCTCCTGGTGGTCCACTTCTGGGCACCATGGGCCCCGCAGTGTGCGCAGATGAACGCGGTGATGGCGGAGCTGGGCAGAGAGCACCCACAGGTCTCCTTCCTGAAGGTACTGCCTCACCGGGGAAACCGTGGGGAGAGCTGGTGTCTGTCATGGGCATGGGGACCTCGTCCTCTTGCAATAGGCTATTCTTAAATATCCTAGCATAGCCTTGCATTTCTCACATCCTACGGGGGTATCCCTTCACTTTCTCCACTGCTCCTTTGGGTGCATCCATGCCCGGCAGGCAGGAACCGGCAGGCAGGAACCGGCAGGGGTGGTGACGTGCAGCGGAAGCAGACAGTTGGGGTGGATAATTGGAGTTTGATATAGTTACAGCATCAGCAAGACTTAGCCCATTGAGAACTGTAGTGTGGGGCGGGAAGTGATGCAGGCGTGGGGGCCTGGAGAGAGGGGTGGCCCCTCACCATGCCTGGACACAGGAGGAGCCCTCCTTGGCTGAGCACGGATGGAGGCCTGTTGGGGGAGGAGTGCCTGGGTGTCTCCTCACTGGTTCTGACGTGAAGGAGTCCTCGTTAGCGTGTGCTCCCCATTGAGGAGGTTACTGAGATGTGGGGTGTGAAGGTGGGCTCCCTTCCCTGACATGCTGTTAAGTGCACGTGTGGCGGCCTCGCGGAGCTGAGCAGAATCTGCCTGACCTGGGCCAGCCTTGCCGTCTCTGATGTGCCTCAGCCTCTTGTGGCCACTTGGCCAGTCCATGTTGTTGAAGATCTTCGCTTTGTGGACCTTTACTTTTCCAAGCACGATGTCCATCTTCAGAGACGTGCCCAGAGTACCATCCTTGCTTCTGTGGAGAAAGCTGACGGCACTTTTTCCAAGACTGTCTGGCTTGTTCTTCTGCTAGTCTGTGGTAGTTCGGTCTTTACCAACGTCACAGTTCAAAGACATCACTTCCTCTCCGGCCTTCCCTACTGATTGTCCAGCTTCTATGTGCATCTGACGTAATTGAAAATACCATAGCTTGGGTCAGCCTCATTGTAGTCTTTAGACTGACACCTTGTTCTTTAGCACCTTAAGGAGCTTCTTGACAGCAGATCTGCCACATAGGACACGTGGTTACCCTTCCCACGGTAGACCCGTAAGCACCATCCTCGTGAGAAAAGGTTCATGGCAAGGATTTCCTTTGACCTTGAACATGTGATATGTTGTAGTTATGTGCTCTCGGGTCACCTGTAATTGATAACGGCCCTATGTACTGTAGCTCTGAAGTCTGCCCTGTCCTGAGACAGTCTCACTGACTCCAACACACCTACCCCTATTTCCCCAGTTACTCTGTCAGTCCATCTCATCTGGGGTCTTCCTCTTAGGAGCTGTCACTCCACCCTTCCCTTCCAAACATGATGTCCCCCTGGCCACACACCCAAAGTAGTCTCAAATCAAAATGCCCACAGAGTCTCAAATCTTTGCCTCCAAGGAAAAAAAAACTTAGTTTCACCCTCTCCAAGACAGACCTGTTTGTTCTCTTGGCAGTCCATGCTATGTTTAATACTCTTCTCCAGCACCACAACTTGAAGGCATTGGTTCTTCTGTCGTCCTTGGTAATTCATTATCCACCTCTCTGATGCCTCGAGTAATTGCAAAGACCATGGCCTAGATCAAGTGTTCCTTAATCTCTAGACTGACGTCTTTGCTCTTTAACACTCTGAAGAAGTCAGTAACAGCAGACTTCCCCAGTGTGATTCGTCTTTTTGTTTTCTGACTGCTGGTGCCAAGAGTGTTGATTGTGGAACTGAGCAAGCTGAAACTGCTAACAGTCTCAGTCTCTTCTTCATTTATCATGGTGCTGCCAGTTGGCCCCATGGTGAGAATCTTAGTCTTCTTGATGTTGACCTTCAACCTATATTGAAGACTACAATCCTTGACCTTCTTCAGCAAATGTTTCAAGTCCTTGTCTCAGCAAGCAAGGTTGTGTCATCTGCAGAGCACAGGTTATTGATGAGTCTTCTTCCAATGCTGATGCCACACTCCTCCTTGTAAAGCCCATCTCTTGAACAATCTGTTCTGCATACAGATTGAAAAGGAATGAAGACAGGATGCATCCCTGACACATTCCTTTCCTGATTTTGAACCATGTAGTGTTTCCTTGCTTTGTTCTGAGGACTGCTTCCTGGTCCAAGTGTAGGTTTCGAATGAGCAAAGTCCAGTGTTCTGGGAATTCCGTTCTTCTCAAGGTTAGACACAGTTTGTTGTGATCCACACAGTCAAATGCCTTTGCATAGTCAATGAAACATGGATAGACATTTTTTACTTTTAACCAAGATCAACTGTCATTGGCGATAATGTCTGTAGTGTCATGGCCTCTTCTAAACCAAGTTGTGTTTCTTGCAAGTCTCTGTCAATGTAGTGTTCCAGTCATTTTTGGACAATCTTTATCAGGATTTTGCTTCTGTGTGATGGTATTTGGTAATTTCCACACTTTATTGGGTCACCTTTTCTGGGAATGGGAATGAATGTGGGTCTCTTCCAGTTAGTTGGCCGGGTAATTGTCCTCTTGACTTTTGGCACAACGTGGTGAGCATGTCCAGGGCAGCGTATGTTTGTTGCAATATGCTAATTGGTGGCCCATCAATTTTTAGATCATTGTTTTTTGCCAATTGCTTCAGAGCAGCTCAAGCTTCCTCATGAGATGCAGCACAGTTTAATACTGACTTACTGCTGGTTTAGGCAACAAGGCCCAGATATGACTTGAGACTAATGTTTGTGCCATTGAGTCCAAACGGACATATCGCTGACCCTCTAGTGGGTTTTCAGAATCTGTGAATCCCACAGGAGGAGACTACCCACCTTTCCTTCTTGGAACAGGCCCGTGAGTGGACAGCATAGCTCTTGACTGCTAGACCGCCAGAGTCTTGGAAATTACTAAAAGCTGCTCAGCTGTATTCACATTCCCTGCTTCTTTAGTTAGAAGAAAAGAAATCTCTTTATGTATTGTTTTCAGCCAGGCTTTGTGAGTTCCTCGTGCATGCTGGCAGAAGTGCCTGTAGGGAGGTTAACGAAATGTCATCAGATTCACCATTTGCTCTGTCCACTGAAGCTTCCCTTTTCTAAGATAACTTTTTGTGTATGTAGATAGGGCACTCGGGTGGCTCACAGATGAAGCAGTGTGAGCAGCTGGACAGGGCATTCGCCTGGTACATTTCCTTGTCAACCCTCTTCCCCTCACCTTGAGGATTCACTCGTATTAGTTTCTTCTGAATCCTTCTAGTGTTTATGCTGGTAGGTTAAATAGGAATGTAGTGCTAGGTTTTCAGAGTTAAAGAACTCATTTAAAATTCCAGTGAAATGTGTACTGTCACCTGAGAAGCTAACTGTTGAAATGTCCACTATAAATAATAGAGCAGAGCATTAAAACTGCATGTTTGGTCAGTGATAAAAGATAACAGTTACAAGTGAAATGAATGATTAAACGCTTCAATCCTAAGGTTGATCAGGATCACGGTAATTGTTCTAGGACCGTTTTTCTGTGTCTGATGTTACTGCCTTGGGTAACACATTGTTCTTAGCAGCCATGGGGATGACTTATTTAAGGTGCCTCTCGTGTTACTTTGCACATTGGTGCCATCCTTGGCAGTGAGATTGTACAGGAGCGCCTGTCGGCACTGGGATGGTCAAACCTGGCTGCACCTGCCGTTCCTGGGGGTTGACCATTCCTGGGGGAATGACCATTCCTGAGGGGTGACCATTCCTGGGGGAATGACCGTTCCTGAGGGGTGACCATTCCTGGGGGAATGACCATTCCTGAGGGGTGACCATTCCTGGGGGAATGACCGTTCCTGAGGGGTGACCATTCCTGGGGGGGGTGACCGTTCCTGGGGGGGTGACCGTTTCTGGGGGGGGTGACCGTTCCTGAGGGGTGACCATTCCTGGGCGTGACCATTCCCGAGGGGTGGCCGTTCCTTGGGGGTGACCGTTCCTCAAGGGTGACCGTTCCTGAGGGGTGACCGTTCCTGGGGGTGACCGTTCCTGGGGGGGGTGACCATTCTTGGAGGATGACCGTTCCTGGGGGGGTGACCATTCCTGGGGAGGTGTGGCTGTTCCTTGGGAGGTGTGGCCGTTCCTAGGGGTGGCCGTTCCTGGGGGATGACTGTTCCTGAGAGATGACTTTGTGCTGTGTTGTTAGTGGCCGTTGACAGAGCAGATGGCCTTTCTGGTCAGCAGTTGGGCCCTCTCCGTGATGTTGCTGACAGCAGTCCTGGCTGGAGAGATGAGCTCTGCCTGCTTCCCCCTTGCTCTCCTGGCTCCTTCCCTTTCTCTCTCCCGGCTCCTGCCCTCGCTTTATCCCTGGGTGAATGCTGCGCTTGGGGCTCCGGGTGTGGGTCGTTGTGTGGGGTGAGCGCCTCCTGGTGTCAGTGGTCACCTTCAGGGCCCATCTGATGTTTGACTGAAAATCAAGTCATGGACATGTGCTCAGTTCTGCGCTTCAGGGGTGACTCAGGCTCACAGTCTTGGGGTTCTAGCAGCCTCTGTCAAACTGAAGACATTAGACAGGAACGCAAGCTGAAGACACACGGTCCTGCCGTCCGCTGTACAGTTGGGGTTCATTCGGATTTACGTAACTGGGTCAGGGGAGGCTCTGGATGGAAATAAACTCATGCCCACTGGAAGTCTTTCACTCTTGGAGAAGTGCAAGGTGTATGCTTTAGAAACTTTCTACATTATGATTTATCAATAAATTTTATTTCCTGCAGGTATAATGTGAATACAGATCTTTATTGGTTTCAGAAAGTTTATATTAAATTGATAGCCCTGTGAGGGAGAAGCATAATACATCTTGGTTTTTCTTGAAGTGGATGGTTTATATATCTGTGTAAATAGCTGACAGTAGTTGGGCTCTAATTTATTGATGAATTGTATTAACAGTTCTGTCTCCGATGAAGAATCCATGTTGTTGCCACAGCTCCATTTGGGGCCTCCAGGAAGCTGGCAGCCCCAATTCTGTTGGCATCTTATTTACAGCACGTGGAAAAGTTTGACTGGCTCAGGAGCGAGGCTCTAGCAGGCTAGCAGGAGTTAAAAGTAACTTGATCAGTCGTCAATAGTTTATTGAAGAAACACTCCTGTTTGCCTCCCAATTTGCAGAAGGCTGAGGCTGTCAGTCATGATGTACTGCCTCTTGGAATTAGTCAATAGAGCAGACGCCAGGAATTGCTGTGGGCAGAGAATAAGCACTGTGATCATGACATAACCGGGGTCAGTGATTTATGGATTTCAATATAGTCGGAGCTGCATAGGATTGAAAATTTACTAGGTCACTAGTGCACCCAAAATTTTATTCACAGCCTTCAGGCATCTTTTGAAATGTGCAACAAAATAAAAACCTCTGACCTGTTCATACATGGTGGACTCGGCGAGTGACGTGGCAGCCCAGTGAGCCTCATTTACATGGAAACAGGCGCGACTCTGCCAGGCTCCCGTGGGGGCCCATGGCCTGTAGGGAGTGCGTGCGTGTAGACGTAGATGTGCTCGTGCGTGTATGTGTGTGTGTGTGTGCGCGTGATGAGTGCATGTATGCAAGGAGTGGAGGGGTATCTCTTTATAATCTAATTTTCTTATTTTAAAGTTGGAAGCTGAAGCTGTTCCTGAAGTGTCTGAAAAATATGAAATTAGCTCCGTTCCCACCTTCCTATTTTTCAAGGTAAGGATGAAGGGACTAGCTGGGCATCGGGAGATAGTGGACAGGGACATCCGTCATGGCTTCGTTGGCCAGGTCAGGAATTGTCCTGCGAAGAACCTAGGCTCTGAAGGTCCAGCCCCCAGTACTTGGTGCTGTTTTGTTATATGTTAGTTGGAACTGACTTGTAGCTGACCCTCCAGTGGGTGTTCAGAGACTGTAGATTGCCCAGGAGGAGATTCCCCAGAGCAGCTTGTGAATTTGAACCACTGGCCTTTGGGTTGGCAGTGCAGCTCCTTACACCAGAGTCCCGTATGCAGAACTGGAATTTCTGGTTAAAGATCCATGGCATTTCCTGAGCTGGGCAAGACATGGATGCTTGAAGGCATGTGCTGTTTGGCTCTGGTGCATCGGTCCTACAGGTTACAGTGTCAGCCTGTGCCTGCAGGCAGCCGTGGCGTCACCGTGTTCTCCAGACCCGAGTGCACGTGGACAGCAGCAGGCCTGTCCCAGGAAGCGCGGGGAGGTGGGGAGGGAGGATTCTCTGCCATTTGGGTTTGTCTGCTTCCAGTTAGAGGTGTAGTGCGGTCTGTCATGTTCCCCCAAAGAACAGTCTGTTTCTGGAGTTGAGACGTGCTGCAGGTACTTCAGCAATGTGTTTGCACCCATCCCGGCCGGCCGGGCTGAGGACATAGACTGTGCTTCTGGAGTCTGATCTGTGATACCGGCAAAGGTCTGCCTGCCTCGTGGTCTAAGTGCCCCTTTCTCACTTTAGAACTGTCAGAAGATTGACCGACTAGATGGAGCACATGCCCCAGAACTGACCAAAAAGGTTCAGCGGCACTCGTCCGCCAGCACCTTTCCGCCCAGCACCAAGGAGGCCCCTAAAGAAGACCTCAATGTCAGACTCAAGAAGCTGACCAACGCTGCCCCCTGCATGCTGTTCATGAAAGGGACGCCTCAGGAGCCGCGCTGTGGTGAGAAGGACAGGGATTCCCCAGGGAGGTGGTGTGCCCTCCCCTACATGGAGGTGGTGTGCCTTCCCCTACATGGAGGTGGTGTGCCTTCTCCTTCCATGAGGCCGTGTGCCTTTCCCTCTGGATGGCTATTCCACAGGGAGGTGGTGTGCCTTCCCCCTACATGGAGGCCGTGTGCCCTCTGCAGCTAGACTGTGTTCTGAGGGCTGGCCCTTCCCTGTGCACCATGCAGTCTTGTGGACAGGTGAGTGGGAGTTACCACTCAGAGACTGTTGGAGCCAAAAGAAGGCCTTGATGCCCTCTGATCCCAGTTCTCAGTCCCAGAGAGACCATGCTGACTTGTCCCAGTTCACTCTCTGGCAGCCAGGACTAGATTCTGCTCCTGTGTCCATCCTTTCCTGGAGCCCTTCACTGTGTCCATTGGGGATGCGCTGGTTATGCTCTTCACTGCCTGTAGTCATCCCAGGCACAGCTGGTAGTGTGGAGCCTACATGAGGGGCCTTGTTCTGTGACTTGGACTCACTCTCGCTCCTGTACACCTGTATGTTTGCACTTCTGTCCTTAAATACGTTTTGGATTATCTAACACCTGGTGTAGAGTTGACTATTTTTTTCTCCTGTTCCTCATGCAAACTGAAAGAACTGAAGGCAAAGTTCAAGCGTACAGTTGCAGTCCTGAAGGATCTCTGGACTAAACAGTGGACAGCACAGGGTACACCAGAAGGAGAGGAAGGGCTCCTGTGCTGAGAGGAAGTGGTCAGCTGTTTGGGAGCAGCAGATAGTCAGGAACTGAAGCTGTTGAAGGAGGAAGTCCAAGTACACTGAAGGTTTTGGTGAAAACCTGGGTTCTAGAAATTGGTGGTATACAGAGTGAGTGAGGTCTTTAAAACAGAAAATGGGTGATCATTTGTTTATGCCAAGAAATTTGGAAGATATGGTCAACCAGCTAGAAGAGATCCTTATTTGTGCCCATTCCAAAGCAAAGTGATGCAACAGAATGCAAGAAATTATCATTATCAAAGCCTTAGTTATTATCATGTGTAAAATCTTCCTGAAGACACATCAGGAGTGGTTGCAGTAGCACATTGATAAAGACCTGCCGGACATTGAGGCTGGATCTAGAAGAGACGTGGAATGAAGGATGTCATTGCTGATGTCACAAGGCTCTTGGGTGGAAGCATAGACTACCAGAAAGGTGTTTATTTGTGTTTTATTGATTCTGCAAAGGCATTCAGCTCTATGGATCAGAACAATATACATTTCAGAGAACGGGAATTCTGGAACATGTGATTGTGCTCATGTAGAATTTGTGTGTAGAACAGGAAACAGTCGTTTGAACAAAACAAAGGCTTACTGTTTGGTTTATGAGCAAGAAAGATTTGTGTCAGGCTTCCAGCCTTCTCTCATACCTGTTTGGTACGTTTGGTGAGCAATTATGCTGAAAAATTGGAATGAGTGCAGGAGAATCTGGTGTAAGATTGGAGGAAGAATTATTAACAACTTGTGCACACAGATAATTTCTTTTACAGTCTTTAGAAAAATGGTCTTTCCTATAGAGTGGAGGTTGATAATGGTCTAAATATCCAGACTGGTACTACGCCATCATCTCTGACGTGAATTACTCCTCCTCTGTCCAGTTCCCTCGTTCTTGTCTGTGTCTTCTGGGTTTTGTGGTTTGCTGCAAGGTCTCAAAGGAACTCAGAACCCGTCAGGGAAGTAGCTCACATGACTGGATGATACCAGCTGGTGCAGAGCTGGTGGGCAGTGGCCCAGGATCCTGCAGACTCTCAGTTACGGTGCATACGGATTGGGTTAGTTGCATGTCCCAAGAGAGAGCACTGAGCTTCCCTGAGCCTTTTAGTAGGATCAGCCTTGTATCCTACCCTGATCCTTTTCACTCTAATGCAGTTACTTTTTCTCCAGAAAGCACAAGGCTTTGTATGGAAAGAGCACAGTGATTCATTGTGCCACACTGTGATACGCAGGTGGTAAAGAAGGTAAAGGCAAAGACGACTTGAAGGCCTTAATGATGACGTTTAAGGTCTGCACAGTATTCAGTAGGGATTAGACTTCACCGTGAAGCAAGAAGTCTCACAACTGAATCACTAAGCAGCGTCGTGATAAATGGGGAAAATGCTGGAGCTATCAAAGCTTTCATCTTACTTGCTAGAATCTACAATCAACATACGTGGAAGCAGCAGTCAGGAGCTACCACACTGCATTGCAAACGTGCTGCATGAGACCTCTGACGTGTGAAAGACGTCACTTGGAGGACCAAGGTGTGCCAAGATGGTTTTCAGTCACCTCGTGCATGTGGGAGCTGGACAGGAAAGAGAGCGAGCAGGTGGTGCTCAGTGATGAGTTTGGGGAAGAATACCGAACATAACGATGAACTGTGAGAAGAATGGTGCTCCTGGAAAATGAACGGTAAGACCGCCTCTCGCTCACTCTGTGTAGGTGACCAGGAGGGACCAGTCTCTAGAGCAGGACATCATTTTAATAAAATTGAGAGCGAACAAAAAAGAGGAAGGGCTGCAGCGGTGAGGACGGGGCAGGGCCAGGTATTGCTCCAACTGTGTAGTGTCGCCCGCAGGACTAACACAACCTGCTTAATGCGGCATTATTAGGCTGTATAACTGAACATTTAATATCTTTTGATGATGCTGTTGAGAATCTGAGACTGTTCATTTCAGCTACACAAGTGGGAATTGATGAAAATGGATGGCAGTGCGGTCGACAGCACTACCAGTGAGATTACTGTACCCTGTGCGGCTCTATGAAAATAACCACGCTTCCAGTAGAAATTTGATTCTAAATTCTTCCCTGTATGGTTATTAAATTACATAGTAAGTTATGAAAAAGTCTAGTTTTTAAAGACAAAGTTTCCTGAAGAGTTCTACATAAAGCTGGAGAAAACTTCCTGCTTGAGTGATGGTCCTTGTCGGTATGTATGTATCAGACGGTGTCTGCTGCGTGTATGCGGAAAATGGTCTCGACTGTGGCGGTCACTGAGTCTTGTGTGTGTGTGGTGGGGAGCACATGGCTTGGGTGCAGCCGTTGTTCCTGGTTCTGATCACAAAGACTTGACGCTCAGACTAGACTCTTTAGCCTGATGGGTGTGATTGTTTCTTCCTTCTGGTCCCCCATACTGGTTGGTAAACTGGTTGTAGCATGTGAGCAAACCTGTGTCCCAGCAAACCTGTAGGAATAGTGATAGAAATGTCTCTTCTTGGGACAAATGTTAGTGTTCCCTTTGCCTTTGTGAATGATGATGTCATGGCATTGGCAGGTAGTAAGATTGGCTGGCCCTGAGGACAGTCTTGTGGCCGGGAGGAAGCGTGGCAGAATGAATTGGGTGGGTGAGTGATCACTCTCCTCCATTCTGACCTCCTGGGTGTCTGGCAGTCCTGGGCATTTGGGATCCCAGTCTGGGATGCCTTAGTAATTTTGTCCCTTATTTCCTTCCCTCCTTGGTGGTATTCATCAGAGAAATCTTTTCGTGTCAAACGTGGTTATTTGAGGTGTTACTCTAGAGAAGTAGTGTTGGCCAGCCCTTTCCTTCTGGTTAACCTGATACTGGATTTCCAGCCATTTTCATAATGACCGTCTTGGTGACATTTAGTGGCAGTTTGAAGAGTTGTAAAGTTAGAATCCTCATTCCTCTGTTAGTGTTCATAGGTTTTTCAAAGGCCTGTTATTTAGGAAGTAGATGGCCCATCCTGCTTCCTAGTCTGTCTGAATTGGAGAACTCCACCAAAACCTGTCCACCACGGGTAACCCTTATGACATTTGACACACCAGTGGCAGTGTTCAGTATACACAGCAACTCCAAGTTATCTCAGTACAGCATACTGACAGACAAGTGCTGTACCACTTAGGCAACATCATGCTAGATGGAGAGGAGATTGAAACTGTCAACAGCTTCATCTTGCTTGGATCCTAATTAACACCCTTGTTATCAGCCATCAGGAAGTAAGGAGACACATTGCACTGGGAAAATTTGCAGTTAGGGACCTCTCCAAATAACTGAGGAGTAAAGAAATCAGTTTGAGGACTAAGGTGCATCTGATTCAGGCCATAGTCTTTCCAGTCACTTTGCTGTGTATCTGAGAGCTAATGAGTGAATAAGGATGACAGAAGAATTGATGCCTTTGCGTTGTGGTGTTGGAGAAGAGCACTGAACATTCAATGATCGCACAGAAGAACACACAGTATGTCTTGGAGAGGATGCAGCCAGAGTGCTCACATACTTTGGACATGTTGCTAGAAGGGGCTATTCCTTGGAGGAGCGACATGATGTTGGGAAGGGTGGAGGGTCCGCAAAGGAGAGGAAGACCCTCGACCAGGTGGATTGACTCAGTGACTGCACCATGGGCTCTTGTGTGTCAGGAAGTGTGAGGTTGGAGCAGGAGAGAACAGAGTTTAGATCTTTTGTTCATTGGATCACTATGTGTCATATTTAATTCGACGGTACCTAATAACAACAGAAGCATTAAAAAGAAGCTTTAAGCTGCTTCAGAGCCATCTGTAAACAAGACTGAGGCTATGAGTTGCACAGTAGAAGATCGGCCCCTTTTCTCCTCCAAAGCTGTGGGTGGATTTGAACTGCCAGCGAGGTGCTGCCATCGGATCCCTGCTCCCTGCTGATTGTGCTGCAGAGCTCTGCTATAAAAGCCACAGTGAAGGACTTGTAAGAAAGACTGTTGGATTTGGCATTTCCTGGTTCATTTGTACGAGTATTTGCACATGTCTGTCATTACCGTTTTAATGGGCTTTTCTGTTTGCTGGTGGTTCACTTTCTGCTACAGCATGTCCTCCTCTCAGATGCAGTGAGTGGATCTTCCTGGAGGCTGGCGTTCATGACATGGGTTGGCTGGGGCTGCCCACCTGAGCCTTCCTCTCTAGACTGTTCTGGAAGTTCCTCGGTCAGGGTTGCGCTGAGCCCGCGTGGGAGTGTCTGTGTGCTCCTTGTGGTGCTCCGTCACGGGTGGTGAGGGTGGGCCCAGCATCCTTCGGGGAGCAGCGCCTTGTCCCGGCCTCTGCACTCCTGGCTGCTGGGCAGTGTCCTTCAGGGAGCAGCGCCTCGTCCCGGCCTCGGCTCTCTGCTGCCGCGCCTGCCCTGTGCTGTCCCTGCTGTCCCTTCCTTGCTGCTTTTCAGACCTTGAGTGGGGACTTCAGTCTTGGGTCGGAACCTTGCGCATCTCCCGTGTCTGCCTGGGTCTCTGCGTGGACTTTGCTCCTGTGCCCAGGGCCATCTCCTTGTCCTCTGTCCTGTGCTCCAGCTGTCACACCTCGGTCATCCTCGTGCTGGGCCCCTCCTGGGATAGGGCAGCCCAGCTCCAGTGTCGTCGGGATTTCCCAAGGAGCCCAGGCTGCATGCCTGCGCCAGCACGGTGGCCGTTTCCCAGCTGCGGGCTGATGAAGGTGTTTGGTAATCCCTGTGCCTGCTCCTCGTCACACGGCTTGTAACCGAGTGCAGGCTCCGAACTGCGGAGCTGAGGCCTGTCCCGAGGTGACCTGTCCCCCGGTGACCTGCCCTGTGGTAACCCCTCCCCCCCCCGTGACCTGTCCCCCGGTGACCTGTCCCGGAGTGACCTCCCCGCAGTGACCTATCCCTCGGTGACCTGCCCCATGGTGACACTCTGCCGGTCAGCCACAGAGCTCGGAGTCTTGGACCAGCTCTTCAGGGCCCTGCTGTCTGGATACCATGTGGATGGCCTGTAGTCTTGTCCCCATCCTCTGAGGAGGAGAAGGGGCAGAGTGCTTCTGCAGTGGGCACACGCAGTCTTGCAGCTATTTCTGCTGCTGCTGTCCCTCCCACAAGAAGGCACGCTTTGCTGTGAGGAGAAAGCCTCTCAGCATTGTGTCCTTGAGCAGAACGTTTCCAGTCTGCCACTTGAACCCTTAAAAAAGGAACCGCCACCCAGCCCTCCCAGTCTGTGTGTAATTGCCTGAAGCAAACTAGAGGTTTCCGAAGCTGGTTACACCAATACACAAAGAGCAAGTTGACATTGACAACAGAATAACCAGCAGCAATCAGCCACTACCTCTTGCTAATGACCTCCTGGATGGATGGACACATTCAGGATTTGACCTGGGGCTGACACCGGTGAGCCTGAGGCTCTGGCTCTGCACTGCGGGCCTGGGGGACACGGCTGGTGTGGACCCACATTCCAGGGTTGTGGGGCTCTGTCCCTGCGCTATGGGCCTGGGGGACGGGCCTCTGTGGACCCACGCTCCAGCACTCACTCCCTTCCTGTGACACAGGCAGATCCTGTGCTGCAGTTAATCTTCTGCCGAATTCTGTGATGTAATTTCATTTAAAAATAATTGCTGCTCAATCTGAAAGGAATTTTGAGTCTGAACAAAGAGTGATTTCCCAGTGAACTGGGACTGTGTTTTAGAAGAATGATGAGTAGGAGAGTCAGGATAGTGCAAATTATTGGAAAACGATTGGAAAGACTTGGCTTATTTAAAGAAAAATCCCCTTTTCCATCTATATCAGTAGATTTATGAAAGACTGAAATTCACACTCGTTCTTCAGAAGTACGAATGCCGTTAGAAAACAATGTTAAGAAAGCAAAGACCAAAAATGTGTCACAAAAGTATAGTAAAATCACAGAACATAGAATCATCAACGGTTTTAACAAAAGGAAAAAGTAAAAAAAAAAATCGTTAAGCACATTGGGGACCACACATCCTTTAAGAAAAGCTGCTGTCAGGTGACCCATGATGAGGAAGGGTGTGGCTGGCTCTTGGCAGGTCACTCCATGACAGAGGAGCTGGCTTTAGGGTGGACTGTGGCGCCCACCCTGCGGAAGGAAGGACATAGCCACGTCCTCACTGCTCATGGATCCCGGAGGAGGTGTTCTGGGCGGAGAGCTGCTGGGAGCAGGCGGGGCCGGGGTCGCTGTCGACACAACTGGTGTGGGTAGACTGACTGAGCGGCAGGGCCGTGGGGCGCCAGGGTCTGTACCAGACCATGCTTGGGTGAGGAGTGGGACAAGGGGTCTCCTTGCTCCTTCCTGCTTGGGTCCAGTATCTGGTTGGGTCAGTATCTGGGGTCTCTTCAATTCTCTGTTGTGGTCTGTTCACCAAATACTGCTTTTTCTACAGTAGGAGTGTTCGTGTCTCTCTCTGTCTCTCTCTTGCATGCACACGTCTGTAAAATCCTACCTGGGCTCAAAGTGGAGCCGCACATCTGGGCAGGTACTTCAAGGTCAAGCAGGTGATTAGTGGGCAGGGTTACATGTGACTCGGACATAACATTAAGTCACGGTAAAGGCAGGGAGACGTTGTGCTGAGGTGTAGGTGAAGTGTAGTTGGAACCGCGGGAGGTGAGTGTGTGTGCTTGTGTGAGAGAGACCCCGAGAGAGAGAAGCTGAGTTCTCAGAGTTCTTTTCCTTCTTCTCTTTGCAGGTTTCAGCAAACAGATGGTGGAAATTCTTAACAAACATAATATTCAGTTTAGCAGTTTTGACATCTTCTCAGACGAAGAGGTCCGGCAGGGACTCAAAGCCTACTCAAGCTGGCCCACCTACCCTCAGCTGTATGTGTCTGGAGAGCTCATAGGAGGGCTGGACATCGTCAAGGTGAGGAGACGCTGTGTAGCGCAGTAGCCTCAGACACGCATGGACCTTCGCACACACTGGGCCGAGCCTGCAGCCAAGACCAGGCGTGCTGGTAAACCACACTTAGGCCTGTGCGGTGACCATCCCCAGCAGGGAGGCCGAAAGGGCAGCATCCACCCAGGGGAAGGGGCAGCCGGCAGGAGGCAGGCGGATGCATGGAGACAAGAGTTCCATGGCATGTGGGAGAGTGATTGGCTCCGTTAGGAGCGTTGTGATGAATGTCGTAAAATAGGTGTAAATGGTTGGATGGAAAACCTGTTTGCTCTGTCAGCACCATAAAAAGAAAACCAAAAAATGATTCGTGATGAGTGTTTTTTTACAGAGAAGGTATTTGTGATGAGGAATGGATGACGATTTGGCACTGTATTCGTCTCCGGAAGGACCTGTGGTCATGTTTCTTTAAGCTGTGTGTGTTCATTTCAGGAGCTGGAAGCCTCTGGAGAACTCGATACAACTTGCCCCAAAGCCCCCAAACTGGAGGAGAGGTGAGTGTTGTCATGGCCCCGCACAGTCGCCGGCACCTGCCTGGGAACCTCGGGAACCTCGTGCTCCTGCACAAGGACCATGGGACCAGGGTACAGGGTTTTCACAGCCGTGTCTGTGGGCTGACTTGTCTCCTCGCCGCTCACCGTCTGTCTGCATTAGACCTCTGTCTCGTGTGGCTTCAGACCCCTAAGTTCACTGGCTGGACTTTGCCAGAAAGTAGAATGCAGGCAGCTTTGAGTTGAAGAGCGCTTAGGCAAGTGCACACCTCTGCATCGTGATTTTGGAGGCTGTGCGGTGTCCCACGGTCTCCCCGCAGAACAGACAAGTCTGCGTGGCAAGAAGTGCAACCAGAGTGCTTGTGAGAGCGGAGGACAGTGGACTTCATGTCACGTATTCGGGGCTTCCTGACACGAGAGGTCAGTCCTTGGAGAAGGACGCTGTGGTCACTTCGACTCCGAGCCCCTCGAGTGTGGCTATACAGTCCCTAGTTCACGTCTGTCCTTCAGGAAGTTAGCCACCTGCACTCCGGTGAAGGTGCTCGGCCCAGCTTAGTGAGTGGTCGGTCCGGTTACAGCCCCTGAAAGCCCCGAGGGTCCCTTCAGCCGCCCTTGTCCTAGGGTGTGCACCTCAGCTCTGGACTGGGCGCTCACGTCCTGCGCAGGAAGTTAGGGCCTGGTGTTTATGAGACCGTGTGACGCAGACATGGTTGGGACCACACTGAGGTCAGCAGGAGACTGGAGCGTCGAGGTCAGTGGAAGGAGGTTTGCGATTGAAAGATGTGAGAACCAATCAGCAGCGTCCTGCACAGGCTTAGTCCACAGGCCTCGTCAGACAATTCCTCGTGGACTGGTGCTTGCTTCTTTATTATTCCTCCTCTAGTGCTGCGAGTTGATGGGCTTAAATTGCAACTTTCAGGAACATTCGTTGCCTTAAAAGCCATATTGTGTTTTACAGCGGCTCAGGGACTGTGTCAGTGCGTTTGCCTGTTTAATGGCACTTGGTGCCGTGCACTGTCGTCCGCCTGTCCCTCAGATACGCTTCTGCTTGTCACGTGGCTCCAGAGTCGTGTTTAATAATTGAGCTGAGCCGTTTTATATCAATTTTCTCTCTTTAGGCTCAAAGAACTGACGAATAAAGCGGCTGTGATGCTCTTTATGAAAGGCACCAAACAGGTAAGGAATGCCCGGATGGCTCTGTCATTTCCTTTGGTGCCCGCAGCACGGGGCCGGTTTGCTCCCTCTCCTCGCGGCAGCTCATATGCTGTCTTGGTATCAGGCAGTTACCAGGCCCTAATTGGCGCTTGCAGAGCGCACACTCACCCGCGCACACTCACCCGCACACACTCTGCTGGCTTTAGTGGCCGCGCCTCAGAGTGTACCTTGCTGTCCACTGCCCAGCTGTGTCAGCCAACTTGCTCAACACTGGTCACCCTCCTGCTTCCGTCAGCGGCTCTCTGGAGCCCTACGTCGGTGCGCAGCTCGGTCACTGTACTCAGGTGGCAGCACAGCGCAGAAGCCACAGTGCACAGTCACTCCATGCCTGTGGGAACTGGGGGATCCTCCCCTGGTCCTGGAGGTAGCCAGGCTGTGTGGCCTGTGTCTGTCCCCGGAGGAGATGCCGAGGCTGCCGTTAGGTCCTGTCTGCCCTGCTTACCTGTCAGGCGTCCCGGAGCCTCCCGCACCCTGCGCTCAGGCATGGGCTTCACCCCGCAGGGTTGTTGGGAGGCGGATGGAGCGCCTGTGATGACCTCAGGAGCTCTGGGGAGTGTGCGTTCTGGATCAGGCTGCCGGCCCCAGGTCAGCAGGAGGGCTCCCCCAGCAGCTCCGAGGGAGGACGGTGGGCAGTGTCCTCGTGACGACCACAGCCTCGGGAAGCTGGTGGAGGGCTGCCAGCTGTGGGTTAATGACCAGTAATGAAAATGGACACTTTCCTTCCCCTTGGAAGCCCGAGAAGCACATGCACTCTTTGCAAGCAGCTGTGTGCTGCCGGCTCCCCTCCAAGAAGGCGGCCTTGGGCTCTGGTCTTTGCCTGGTCTCAGCAAACGTGGTGCTCAGAACCCCGGAGGCAGAAATGCAGCTGGGCCGGGAGCGTGAGTGCGGAAGACACCGCAGAAAGGTTCAGGGAGCTCAGAGGGCCCAGCGCGATCGAGTGGGGCTGAACTGGAGTCTCGGTGAGGAGGGTTTGCATCAGTGTGGTTACCACGAGCTCCTGGAAGCCGAGTGCATAAAACGAGGGCCCCAGGCACGCCAGGGCCACGCAGGAGGATGTGGGGGCAGCGACGGGCCTGAAGCAGACCTGATGGGGCTGCCTTGTGATGTGAAGATGAGGAGGCGAAGCCGAGTGAGTGCAGTTGACCGGCTCACAGCTTCCCTGTGGGGTCGAGGAGCTTCGCCAACATTTCCAAGGCTGTGCTCGTTAGGGACGTGGACTCCCTCCTCCATCCCCTGCAGGGCGGCTAGTGTATACCTTTAACAGCCAAACACTGACCCCGGTGCCACCAAGGCCCCGTTGAGTCACCCCGTGACAGCCACCTTGTGTGTGCACTGTTTACTGGCAAGCTAGCTGATACTGTGGCCTCGAGATTAATACGTGTAATGCAGCTTAGCTTTTTGTTTTCAATATAGGAAGCAAAATGTGGATTCAGTAAACAGATTCTGGAAATCCTAAACAGTACCAAGTATGTAAACCTTGTTTGTGTTTCAGTTCACCACTGGTGCTTTTTGTCCTTTTGTGTGTACCTTTAACAGGTTGAGTTACCTGTCTGGTTTGACTGGTGGTTTGTGAATGCTTCCACTTACCTCAGCCACGCCCCTTGGCTGTGCCTGGCCTGGCAGTAGGGCTTCGAGGAGCCCTTTGCCCAGGCCACCTGCCTTCTCTCTCGGAGGACCCATCATCCCCAGAGGGACAGGGGACTTTGATGTTTGCACCTTCAGGTGCTTTTTTGTTTCTCACCTCTGATCTGAGGGTGGGTGACACTCCATTCCTCCTGGCTCTGCTCAGGGAGAGAGGCGTGGAGAGGGTGATGGGCACGGGTGGGAGCAGGCTCACAGCTCCGCTGGGGGTTGGGGCTCCTTGTTTGTTTAAATAAAGCTTTATTGGCACACAGCCATGCTCATGCACGTGTGTGTTGTCAAGGCTGCTGACAGCAGTCTCCATGACCCTTAGGGCCCAAAATACTTCCTCCCTCGCTCCTCACAGGTGGTTTCTGCCCCTGGTCTGATCCAGTGTTGTCCAGAGGAAAAAGTCCCTGTGTGTGTGTACTGGACCGTCACTGAATGATCACGGTGTCGGAAAGTCCTCCCTGTGTGTGTGTGTGCTGGACGGTCACTGAATGATCACGGTGTGGCACCTGCTGGATTAATGTCAAGTCAACACGTCTGTTTCGTTAGAGTAAATGTGAAGTAACTAAAGTGCAGTTACTGATTTCATTCCAGAAAAGCAAACTAATGTTGTCATTTTTCCTGTAATTTCACTGTTTTCTCACTTTTTGCAGTGTTGAATACGAGACGTTTGACATATTGGAGGATGAAGAAGTAAGTTGCCCGTTCAGTGTTTCGTCTAGTCTTAGACTTAATCCCAGGCTCTAAATGAAGGCTTCAGGGTTCCTGCTGTTTCTGCAGGTGCGGCAAGGGCTAAAAGCGTACTCCAACTGGCCCACCTACCCCCAGCTGTATGTGAAAGGCGAGCTCATTGGAGGACTGGACATTGTGAAGGTAAGGTCAGCATTAGCTCAACCCTGAAGAATGGACTTTGACGGGGAGTGTAAATTTCAGGGCCACCTGGCGTGTTCGCTCTGCTGCCCCGCGTCCTCTTACTTCCACGCTGGTGGAATAGCCTTTGCCCACTGTCAGTGTTGGGTCAGAATGTGCCCATCTGTGTCCTTGCTGTGCTGTGAGTTCTTGCTCTGGGTCTCCTGGCCACTCTGAGTCCTCTTCCAAGCCCTCGGTGCCCAGCACACTGCTGGCCCACATGCCACTGTGTCGTTGGGTGTCTGGGCACGGTGTCAGTGGTGGGAACTGCCCGTGGGAGCCATGTGGCCACACTGCCTCTGCCCGTAGAACTTCTTCCCGTCAGCTTTTCACCAGCTCTTCTGCTCTGGGCTTCCTGCCTCTTCTCCGGGTCTCTGCTCCGTGTTCTTGAAGCTCACCTGAAGCTTTTCCAGGCGGCTCCGGCTGGAGCTGTGTGCACCTACTTCTGGAAGTAGCATGGACTCCCAGTCCCAGAGGCTGGGTGCATGTGGTGGTGGTCAGTGGCCGCCCTTACACTTCAGCCAGCTCAGTGACCTGGCACCCAGTTCCGAAGATGGATGGACTTGTACGAGTTGTCCCCATGCCCTGCGCGATGGTCATGCCTCAGGAGATGAGTGGTGGGCAGTGTGCCTGGGACCTAGGAGTGCTTGTATGTGGAGGAGGAGTTGGGCGGATGGAGGGAAGTGAGAGATTTTAGCTCACATTGTGGTGTTTGCACATTCTCATTGATCAGAGTCCCTGTTTCACCTACCTGCACCCCCCCAGTGCCCAGACGCTGGGTGAGTAGGGTGGACACCAGATAGTGAGTGTCCTTCCAGGCACATAGTGGGGTGTAGGTGGTGGTGAACAGGGCGGGGGGATGTGTGGCCTCAGCAGAGGGCGGGTTAGGGGCTGTGTCGCTGGAGACGCATGCACGGTCACACCGGCTGCTGGCAGAGGTGGCACGGACTGTGTGAGCCCCCTGCTGGCCATCCTCCTGCCTGGTGGATGAGGTCAGACCACCATTGACGTGGAGTGCAGATTCTTGTGGACCTGGTGTTAAATCCGTGTGTCCCACGTGCTCTTGAGAAAGGCAGGCTGCCAGACCAGCACTGGGAGTGACCACACTTGGGACCAGATGCTCTGCACCACTGGCTGGATGGTGGCCGAGGTGGACTGGATCCCCAAGTGCACTGGACCCTGTGGTGGGGAGTGTGCGCTGGACCCCCGAGGCAGGCCCTGTGGCCATCATTTCTGGCCAAGTGGTGGGATTGGCGTCCCTCTTGCTTGACACGTCAGGAAGGTACTTTTCTCGTAAATGGTTTCACTCCTGGAGGAGGAAGAGGAGTTGGACAGCCTGCGCTGGAGCCCCAGGAATAAACCTGCATTTGTTTCTCCGTGTGTTTTCTGTTTCTGTGAAAAAGGCTTTAGACCCTGACGACTCTGGGAGCTGTTGTCGTTTTGAGTGTTTTGTGACTGTGTCCTCATGCTTCCAACTCCTGGGAGGAGGCCGTCGGTAAACCTCATTTAATGCTGAAGAGCGGCTCCCTTCTGGCTGTGCAGAGGCGTGTGGCTTTCCCTGCCCGAGGGGCGAGCGCTGAGGGAACCGGGCGCGTCCCGTGCTCCCCGGGCAGCTCCCTGGGCCGTGCTCTTGTGGTTGTGTGGCTGTCTCCTGTTGATTTTGAGTGGCTGTTTGTGGGATGGGTTGGCTTTCTGCTCAGCCGTTTGTGCACGGTTTGTTTTGGGACCCTCGTTACAGCCCTGCCGTGTAGCTTCAGTCTTCCCACCCCTCCCTGTGACTCTTGCTTCCATTCATCCTTGTGCCCTCCTGGCCTCATGGCGGGCCTCCCTGCTGCCCTTCTGTCCTGTGGTGATTGCTCTGAGGGTCAGGGCCTCCTTGGGGGGTTCACCTTCCAGGCCCATCTTGTTTGGCTGTGGGTTGAGCCATGATGAGCTTGTCACTGGTCTGAAGGGTGACTGAGGGCCACTGTGTTAGACTCCCTGCAGTGACTGTTGAGTAAGCCTGGCCTTTTCACATTGAGTTTTGGTGCTCTGTCCAGGACCTTCGCTGTTTTGTTGGGAGAGGTCTGGTGTGGCAGCTGGGCTGTCTGGTTTCCTTTTCTTGGCACGATGTGGAATGAGGGCCACGGGGTCCATTCGTCCTTTGTCCAGGCTTGCTTTCCTTCCTCCTGTGTTCAGGCAGGGAGAGGCCTGTGGCTGCCTCTCTGTGGCTGGTGGCAGGCTTTTCATGCCCTGTGGATCCTGTGCTGGTGGTGGTGAGGCCCGTGTCCCTCCGGCTGTCACTCTTTTTCTTCCGGGCCTGGGAAGTTGAGTCATGGGCTGAGCTTGGTGCCAGACTCTAAGGGCACCTGAGGGCCGATGTTGAATTAGTGAGTGAGTGGACCGATGGATAGATGGACAGACGGATGGTGTCCTGAGAGCCCCCTGCTCTCCTGCAAGTGAGCAGCTTAAGAGGTTCATGGTCATGGTGGGAGTAACATGGGGTTTGCCCTCATGGTGGGCTGTGCACAGGGTTCCAGGCTTGTCCCCACAGACCAGCTGCTGCTGTCCTCGGGCAGGGGTGACAGTCGGCACTTCAGTTGGGCACTGTGGATGCTCTGGCTTGGATGGACCCTGCTGTGAGCTTTGAGGAAGTGTGTCCCCCATTATTATGGGACCCCACAGCTGTTTGGATGTCTTGGGCCCACAGCCTGTGCATGTTGAGTTCGAGCTGTAGAGCTGCGGCCAGGCCTCCACCAGGCGGTGCGCCATGTCCCTGTGGGCCGTTTGGGGCTTTGTGTGGTAGACACAGTGCCTGCTTAAGAATCTTCCAGAGAGATGTGGATTCTGATGACTTTGTCCTTGTGTTTTTGCTGTCTACTGAGACATGCTAGGTCAAATCCGATGTTTATTTTAAATGAGAAAGTCTTGTTTACCCGTTATCATCACATCTTACACTTGACTTGAAGTTTTAAATCTGAGATACAGGCCCCGAAAGGTGGAACCTTCCTGGCGTGTGGGTGTCCTGGTGCCGGGTGCGGCGGTCACAGCTCTGTTCTGTGTTGTCCTCCGTGCTGCTGTGGTGTCTGGGCCTGGTGTCTTGCCTGGGCGGTGGCTTTCCACACACAGTGGGGTGGGCCGGGTACATGTGACAGACAGACGTCACCTTTTCTGTGTTTTAGGAGCTAAAAGAAAACGGTGAGCTGCTGCCCATCCTGAAAGGAGAGAACTGACGATGCTGAAGCTGGTGTCCAACAACCGCAGGACAAGCGAGATCGTCACGGCGGGCCGGCCGCTCCCCGGTGGACTCGGAGTGGGGGCCGCTCCCCGGCGGGCCTGGAGTGGGGGCTGCTCCTGGCACCTCGTGTGCTTCATGAGCTCGTGCTAAACGGATGTTACATTTTTTCCATGGACGTAGGATGCAATAAACCTCTTCACATTCAGAGAAAATGGTCACGTGCCAGAGTGTCCTTCAGTCGTGCTCAAGGTGTTGTCCACGGGGCGTCCTGTGTTGTTTGTGAGCAACTATTGTAGGGAGGGGAACCCCAGAGCCTGCACTCAGAGACTGTACCCAGAGCCCGTACCCCAGGACCCGCACCCCAGAGCCTCTACCCAGAGCCTGCTCTCAGAACCCATGCGCCAGAACCTGCACCCAGAGCACGCACCCCAGAACCCAACCCCAGAGCCTGCTCCCAGAACCAGCATCCCAGGACCTGCACCCCAGAATGCACACCAGAGCCCACACACCAGGAGGCTGTGGTCCCTCAGAGGTGCCCCAGCACCACTGGAGGCAGCTCGCTCCCCCTTGCTGTCCAGACGGGACATCTGGTAGCTTTGGGGAAGAGCCTGCAGAAGGAGCTTTCTGATTGGCTGGTCCGTGGCAGTGGGGGACTGGGAGGGGGTGGGAAATCCGCACAGGGTTGGCAAGCAGGGAGGGTGTGGAGCTGGTGTGTCCCATTTCCTCACGAGCTGGGAAGAGCGGTGGTCAGCGTGTGGACGGCGTTGTCAGCTTCACTGGCCCCAGCGACTCGGAGCAGCATGGTGAAGTAAGTGTTGCTTTTTCCCAGGGTACATGGGACACTGAGGCCCATGAGGACTTCAGCACGTTCTCATCCTGTGTCTCCTAGCTGTTTTGTGTGTGGGTAACTTTCTGCTGTCCCAGGTCCGAGTGGTCACTGGTCACTGTGGTTTTGGACACCCTCCATCTCTGGTCTAAGCTGAAGGAGGCTGTGGTTCAGGTGGGGCTGGCTGGTTTGCCGTTTCATTCCTGTGATGTAAGGCAGCAGTGACCGGCTGGGACAGTGCCACTGATGGTGTTGTCCCCCTTCTGTCCCCACCCACCACGTCTGAGTGCTTGCTTTTGGCCGAAGGCTCACTCTATAAAGCCCAGGGTTTGCGTGTGGCTGGTCCTTGGCCAAGTGATTGGAGCTTGTGTGGTGATGTCCCAGTCCCTGTGGACCAGAGACATCAGGTGGTTTCCCTGCCACAGCCGAGCCTTGCAGAGCTGCCCATGGTCACCAGGCGGCCCCGTCCACTCAGACCTTCCATGCTGGCCCTCAGCCTGAGTTGCTTGCAAGTGAGTCAGTGACACTTAATGACAATGCTCTTACACACCTACAGCTAACACAGAGAAGAACGGGAATCCCAGAATACACGACTGCTCGGCAAAACCTGTCCCTAGACTACCTTCTATGCCTGCAAGGAAGCACTGCCTAGTGTAAGCTCAGGTAAGGTGTGCATCAAGGCTGCAGCCTGTCTCCAGGTCTGTCCAGTCTGTATGTGGAGTAAAGTGTTCAAGAAGCTGGGCTTTGTGAAGAACAACGTGGCATCAGGATTGGAGGAAAACTCATAAACAACCTGTGTTATCCAGAGGACACAGCCCAACCTCGCTTGCTGAAATGAAGGAGGACTTTGAAGTGCTTGCTTCGGAAGATTAAAGGCATGAGCCTCAAAGACGGATTGCGTCTCAGCATTAAGAAAACAAAAATTCTCACCACTGGGCTGAGAAAATGGAGAAAAGATTGAATTTGTTAATTATTTTATTTGGGTCCAGAATCAACACCGGTTGAGCAGTGTGGGGACAGCCAAGTCTGACCTCTGACCTCTGACAACTCTGTAAGGGGAACTGCTCCCCGTCAAGAGCATCCGTGATACAAAACTAATTCTCATGAAGTCAGACCCGCCCCGTACGCTACTACACGATGATTCTAGCACCAGTCCTACTTCCCCACAGGGTCGGAAGTCTATGCCAATAGTTACATACACTTTACAGAAACAAGTCAACAATTAGCGCATTTATTAGGCAAGTGAACGGGTTACAATCCAGGCGGGCAACAGGACACAGTCTCAGTCAAGGGACCTTCCTTCCAGCTTCACCTTCAGCCTCTCAGCTTTAGGCCAGTGTTAGAAAGCTTAGTCCTGGTAATTACAACATCCACTTCCTCCCACACTACCCCGCGCCACCCACGCCCTCCCATAATTCCCCAGGCTCTCTAACACTCTTGGGTGAAGGCTCCTGGCTCTGGGTCTGTAAAGGTCAGCTCAAGCTCACATTGAGCCTCTTAATTCAGGGAAGATGCTGATGATGTGGACTCGGCTTGCAGGGTCAGCAGAGTTGAGGTGGCTGGGTTTTGTTAGGAGCATTGTCCTAGGTGATGGGCACCTGCAGCATCCCAGGTGCAGCCCTCTTTGTGGGAGCTCCAGGGTGTAGACCTCGGGAACAAAGGGTGGCAATTTAAGTCTTGCCTTTGATACTGTGGAGAGTCAGGATGTAACCATTCTGTTTGCGTGTTTCCACCGTGCCATGTAACAAAGCCAAAGACCGTGGTCTGGGAAAGTAATACTCAGCAACAGATCTACTGCACCCCAATACCCAGCAGAAAAAAAAAAATATCAGAATGTGTTGCATTGTGAAATCTGCTGTCAAGGACCTCTCCTTAGTTCTAAAGACAAAGAATGAGAGTTTAAAGGGCACCCGACCCAAACTGACTGCCAAAAGAACAAGCAAATCTGTGGGAGAAAGTGCAGCGCGGGGACTCCTTAGAGGCAAGGATGGTGAAATTCCGCCTCATACTCTGGGCATATTGTCGGGAAAAGACATGATGCTCATCAAGGTAGAGGGAGGGTCAGTGAAAGAGGAAGGCCCTGGACGAGATGGCTCGACACAGCGGGTGTAATAACATCCATCAGAGGTCATGAGGAAGGTGCAGGTAGGGCAAGGTTCAGGGTCACATAGTCAGCAACCTCTAACAACAAAAATCAAGCCATTGGTGTGGAATAAGAACCATGGCCGACTCCAGTGGGTTTTCAGAGCCTGTAAAGTGCATAGAATGAAATTTCCCATGTTTCTCCCGTGGAACAGTTGGTGGATTCAAAGCCCCTGCTTTTGGGTTGGCGGGATAAGCACGACTTCTCTACACACTGAGAAAACAAATCGTGATGATGTGCATTACTGCGATGCTGGTCTCCTTTGCTGGTCTTCGGGGTCCACACATCTACGACCTCGTGAAGCCCTACCTCCTCTGCCTGTGGGACACAGTGAGGGAGAGCCGATTCAAGGCATGCTGGACAGAATGGAGGGTGGGGCGGGGCATGGGGAACCTCCCCGCAGGGTGCGCTGGGGATGAGCCCCTCCTGGGTTGAGCAGGGGATGAGAGCCTCCCCACAGGGTGCACTAGGGTGAACCTCATCCTGGGGTGGAGTATGGGGAACCTCTCTGCAGGGTGCACTGGGGATGACCCCCTTCTGGGGCTCAGCAGCTTGAGGGCGAGGCCGGGATGCTGCTACCCTAGGCTCCGAGTGACTGCATCTGCTGGGAAGGCCAAGCAGCAGCCTCCACTTACCGCACAGACAAGAGCCCAGCAGGGACCCCTCGTCCTCAACCAGTCAGCCAGCAGGCCACTCTCCAACCAGGTCAAAGATGTGCCCAGGGAGAAAGGCCTGGCGGTCTCAGAAATTCTCATCTCGCATTCCCTGTGGAGCAGTTGTGCCCTGACACACAGGGGCCGCCCTGAGTCCTCCAGGGTGGAGTCCTCCGGGCTGTGTTCGCAGTGGCCACCAGATCCAGAGCCGAGCCCCCAACTGTCCCCTGCACCCACCTGTCCCCTGCCCCCACCCTCAGCACCTGGCTTCCTGTGGGGAAAAGGTCAGGATGTACGTTGGCAGTAATGCCATCAAGGCCCCGTCCAGAAGCCCGACGCCTGCCTCTCCTAAGGATGCCCAAAGGAGGGCTTGCCCAAGGGGCGTGAGCAGGTGTGGACACCCACTCCCCGCGGCATGGCCTCACGCATCGTCACACCTAGCCAGCGAGAGCTGGATGCCATGCCCCTGACGTCAGCGGCCCAAGGGCGCCAGGCTGGCCTGCAGGGGTGGAGCCCTCCCCTTGGTCCAGCCCCCGCCCCCGCCCTTTCCTGGAACTTGGCCTTGGAGCTGGGGCGCAGTGAGCCCGCCTGTCCACATGAGGGCGCTGCACACCACGCTCTGGCCCGGCCGCGGCGATTGCAGGACCGGCATCTGGACACCAGGAGGCGCGCGAGGACCACGGAGAGCTGGAGTGCGCGTGAGCGAGGGCGCCTGCGTGCACACGCGAGGGGAGCGCGCGGAGAGGCGGCTTCATGCCCGCGCGAGAGGGGGTGGCTGCGCGCACGCGCGAGGGGGAGCGCGCGGAGAGGCGGCTTCGTGCCCGCGCGAGGGGGGCGGCTGCGCGCATGATAGAGGGCTGTACTTCGGGGCACACGCGGCGGGGGTGCTGTTACTTGTGCACGTGCAGCAGAGGGGGCAGTCTCGCGCACAGGTGTGGGAGGGAAGGCAGCTGCGTGCGAGAGGGCTGTACTTTAGGGCACGTGCGGGGAGCCCGTGGGGGATGCTGCTGCGTGCACGTGTGGGGGTTGCTGCTTCATGTGCACGCGCGTGGGGGGGCAGGCTGCTTCGCGTACGCGTGCTCGGGGAGAGTACTGGAAGCTGGAGAGCGAGCAGTGGGTCCTGCTGGGGCGGCCAGCGACCACCACGCGCATCTGTGGGCCCATTGCTACCCGCGCCCCCCCCCCCCCCCCCGCCGTCTCTCCATAGGAGTTGGGGTGCTGGTGACGCAGCAGGACCCACATTGGTGGGGTGCGGTGCAGCGAGTGCACCCACATGTCGGCCTCTGCGGGCTGCCCTCCCTTTCTCCTCCTCCCAAGCACGTTGGCTGAGGGTGTGGGGGTGCCAGGCCCCAGCTGGGTGGAGAGGTGTAGGA